CAGGGCACGGTTCTTCCCCCCGAGGCTGCTGGCACTGCCCAGGCTCCCCAGGGAATGGGCCCGGCCCCAAGGCTGCCAGAGCTCCAGGAGCGTTTGGACAGCGCTCTCAGGGATGCTCAGGGTGGGACCATGGGCACCTGTGCCAGGAACAGGGGCAGCAGCAGCAGGTTCCCTGTCCCCAGAGCTCAGGTCTCCCTGTGCCAGCCTGGGGCCAGCTGGTCCCCCTCTTGCCAGCTCTACCAGGGCTTTGAGGCTTTTTGGCCCAGTTTTCACCTCTTTCCCTGTGGTTTTGTGCTGAGTGTGGGATCCTGCTCCCTGTGGGGTGGCTCCAGAGAGGATTGTTCCAGGTGAGGGAGGTGTGAAGTCCTTCAGGGGTGGGGGACACACACCTGCTGAGCCCCAGGGCTTGCCTGGCCACCTGTCCCAGGTGAGAGCTGTGGGAAGGGCTGTGGCACCTGGCTCCAAGGCTGGTGGCCAGATGCTCTCCTGGCTCGTGGCCATGGCTCTCTGCAGATGCCCTCTCCCTGCTGTGGATCCCTGACCACACACCCAGACCTGTGCAAGTCTGGAGAGCGGCAGAAATGACCAGAGGCCACAAGGAAGGAGACCCCGTTCTCCACCTGCAGGATGGCTCATGAGGCTGGAGCTGTGCAGCCCTGTGGGTGCCTCCTGTGCTCCCCACGTAGTCAGGAATCCCCAGGAGAGAGAGATGCTTCACTCTGCACCCCAAACTAGCCTGGGCTCCTCAGCAGGCCAGAGGGGCTCACACACTGACTGGCCATGGCCCATCTGGTGCCTGAGCAGGTGCCCAGAGCCTGCCCCGTGTCCCTCGGCCGCCTGGGGAGCTGCTCCTCCCTGGCTTCCCCAAAGGTCTCCAGCTCAGCTGGGGTGGGAGTCCTGGTGATCCCCAGCTCCAGCGTGGCCTGCAGACAGAAGCCCTCCAGCTGTGCTGTCCCCATAGCCCATCCTGCTTTTGTGGGGCCACCTTCCCTTTGCAGCCCTTCCCCAGCTCCATCTCCACCCCAGTGAGCTCCAGCCGCCTCCTCCCCTCAGCCCCGGCTGTCCTGAGCCCGAGGCTGCTGCAGGACAATTCCATCTACAGCTGCTGTGGTCAGCCCTGAGCCCTCCTCCTGCTCCCTGCCTGCCACAGCCCCTGCCTGGCCCTGGCACAGTCCCTGCCCTGCCTGCCACAGCCCCTGCCTGGCACAGTCCCTGCCCGGCCCTGCCACAGTCCCTGCCCTGTCACAGCTCCTGCCCTGGCACAGCCCCTGCCCTGGCACAGCCCCTGCCCTGCCCTGCCACAGTCCCTGCCCTGGCACAGCTCCTGCCCTGGCACAGTCCCTGCCATGGCACAGCCCTCTTCCTCCAGGCTCCATCCTCATCTCCATCAACCCCTAAAGCCGCTGCCCATGGAGGAGGAGGTGATTTCCCCCTGCAGGGGGGCACACAGACCCCCACATCCTTGCCGTGGCACAGGATGTCTCCAGGCAGATGGTGAGGTGAGAGAATGTCCTGGGAGCATCCCTGGGGGGCAGAGGGGAATGGCTGAGGTCACTCTGGGAGGTGCTGGGTCCTCTCCTGCAGCTCTGGGGAGAACCAGTCCCTCATCATCAGTGGCGAGTCGGGTGCAGGGAAGACGGCGTTGGCCGAGTCACCCTGGGGTTCTTCACCGAGGTCAGGGGCTCCTTGGGCAAGGAGCTGGAGAAGCTCCTGGGCTCCATCCCCCTCAGGGAGGAAGGTACCCCCAGTCCCCAGACTCTGTGTGGGGAGGGTTGGGTGTCCCTGCAGCCTCTCCTCGTGGCCTGGGTCCCTGGTGTGAGGCTGTGTCTGTCCTCTCCCTGGAAAATGAACGGCAGGGACTGAACCTCCCAAGAGGTTCCTTCCACCTGGAAGTCTGGGCCAGCTCAAACCTCCTCTCTCCCTGCTTAACCAGGCATTTGGGAATGCAAAAACAACCAGCAGCCGCTTTGGGAAGTACTCAGAAGTACTTAAGAGATGGGATTTATCCAGGAGAATGTCACGGGGTCACCGTCTAAACCTCCCTGCTGGAGAAGTCCGGTGTCACCTTCCAGGTGGCTCTCTGGGGTGGCACAGGGATGGATCTGAGTGTGAGCCCCGGTTGTTCTTTCTGAGCATCCCTGGGGGATGTGACCCCAGTGCTGCTGAGCTGAGCTGGGAGAGGGAAGGGTGTCCTTTGGCCCCAGATCTGGGGTGCTGAAGGGTGGCCCACAGTGACCTGACTTCAGAGTGACTTTCCTGTTCCTCCACAGGAGAAGGAGGAGATGAATTATCACATCTACCAGCTCTCCCTTGGCCACCCTGCCTGAGCTCCAGGGTCTCCCTGAGGGTCCCCACAACCCCCATCTCTGCCAGCCTATCCCACACTGGGAGAAAAGGGTAAACCCCAAAGGACATTGCTCCCACTGTCCTGCCTGCAGCCCTTTATGGCCATTAATTGCTGCTAATTGGAGAGGGAGGGGATTCTTTTCCCTGCCCCTCTTTGCCCCCATTCTGCCCCCGAGCCCCTCCCCAGGCTAGAGAAGCTCCTGGGTGTGCTGGGACAGGTTCTCCCCACTGCACCCTGAGACCCCTCGCAGCTCGAGAGCCCTGATTCAGGACAAGCCAAGGGTCCCTGTAAGAGGCACCCCAAGACCTCACTTGGGACATGCAAAGAAGCCTCATCAGGCATCCCCAGCAAGAGACACCCCAAACTCTCACTCCTCTCCCACCAGGGACACTCCAAGATCCTGTTGAGGACAGCCAAAGACCTCTCCTGATTAGGACACCCCAAAACTGTCCTCGTTCAAGAGCAGCCAGGTCCCTCATGCAGGGCACCCCAAGGACCCCACACATCCCCTACTGCCCTTGTGACAGTGACTCCAGTAACGATGGAAATCAGTCACCCTCACACCTCTGCTGCTCTGGCACCTCTGGCTGTCCCCCCTGCCCACGGGTGCTGCTCTCCAGGGGTGTCCCTGTGTGCCATGGCCACCTCCTGCCCGTTTGTCCCCACAGCCCTGGGTGCTGCTGTCAGCAGAGCCCTGCTGGCCCCACATGCCTGAGTGGCCAGGCCAGCCCTGCAGGGCCAGAACAAAGCCCTGGTGACCAGGGGCCAGAGGGTGGGGACAGAGTGACAAGGGGTGTCCAAGTGATGTGAGGGATGATGAGCGTGGAGAATGGTTTGGGTTGGGAGGGACCTCAAAGCCCATCCAGTGCCACCCCTGCCATGACCAGGGACAGGTCCCACGGTCCCAGGCTGCTCCAAGCCTGGCCTTGGGCACTGCCAGGGATCCAGGGGCAGCCACAGCTGCTCTGGGCACCCTGTGCCAGGGCCTGCCCACCCTGCCAGCCAACAATTCCTTCCCAATATCCCATCCAGCCCTGCCCTCTGGCAGTGGGAGCCATTCCCTGTGTCCTGTCCCTCCAGGCCTTGTCCCCAGTCCCTCTCCAGCTCTCCTGGAGCCCCTTTAGGCCCTGCAAGGGGCTCTGAGCTCTCCCTGGAGCCTTCTCTTCTCCAGGTGAGCACCCCCAGCTCTCCCAGCCTGGCTCCAGAGCAGAGGGGCTCCAGCCCTTGGAGCAGCTCCGTGGCCTCCTCTGGACTGGCTCCAGCAGCTCCACGTCCTCCTGATGTTGTTCCCCAGGGCTGGGGCAGCTCTGCAGGTGGGGTCTCACCTGAGCACAGGGGCAGAGGGGCAGAAGCCCCCCTCCCCTGCTGCCCACGCTGGGGGCTCAGCCCAGCACAGGGATGGATTTTGGGACTGTCCAGCAGCACCACAATGCCTGGAGCAGGAGCGTCTGTGGGGACAAAGAGAAAGCCAGACCCAGAGCGGGGTCACCCAGCCTGGACAGGGACAAACCCACCTGTGGGAGGTGGCAGATGTCCCCACTGGCTCCTGCTCCTGCCCCCAAGCTGGCACCTTTCTCCCTGGGCCCAAGGAAACGGGAACGGACACCAAGAGGCTCCGGGCAAGGAGACACGGTGGTGAGCACAAGAATTCATATATAGTAAAAAGTCTTTATTAAGAAGGCTTTGAAGTCAAAAAATAAAACTCTTGATACAATTTTCATAACCGTCAAGTCAGCTCAGCAAATATATAATCAGTACTTTAGCCATGTAAGGTTAAAGGTCCGTTATTTTCTTCTTAAAATAAAATATATTTTAGTTTTTAAAATTTATTCAATAAAGTACATATTTTCCTATAAATTCCCTACATATACATAAAGAGGTAAAAAATAAAAAAACAAAACAAAACAAACAAAAAAGAAACTAAAAATCCCCCAAACCCTACCAAAGAACAAAAAAAAAAAAAAAACCAAAGCAAAAACAACCCAAAAAAAAAATACATCCCCCAAACCAACCCCAAAATAAAGTGGAGATAGAAATCTGTCTGTTTTTTGTGACATGGTGTGTTAACTGTGCCCCCTCCATTCCACAACCTCCTGACCTCACATCACACATTTTTGGGCATTTTTCACATTGGCAAAATACAAGATAGACCTGCATTACAAAATAAAAAAAAAAAAAATATATATATATATATATATCTTTATAGAACCACTGAGAATCATCAAAAAAAAAAAAAAAACCTACATACAAAAAGAACCACAAAAAAAAAAATTATTATAATAATAATAGAATGATTTTAAAAAAATAAAAGACAACCCTTGTGTGTCCTAAAATAAAAAGTGCAACCGGACCTTTTCTTTCTGGTTATTTCAGTTTGCAAACGGAATACTGGTATTTGGGAAGGACTGGTGGAGAACAGCCGGGCTCCCTCCCCAGGCCCACAGCCAGGTGAAGAGTTAAAGCTATTCTGTAAACATCAGAGTTTCCTCCTCGTGGAATTCACACCCCTCTTTCCTCATCCTCATCCTCATCTTCTTCTTCTTCGGCCCCTTCGTCCCCTCCCTCCCGACCCCCCGGATTCGGCCTCCCCCCGCCCCCGCCGCGCCCTCTGCGCCTCTCCAGCTCCTGCCACCGCCTGTCCCCCCTCCCCGCCCCGTGCGCCCATCGCATCTGTTATTAAATAAAAAGCTCGATTTAAACAGTATAAAGTCCTTAAAACGCCGTGGTGTTGGGGTGGAGGGGGGAGGCTGCCGGGCCAGCCCCCGGGCTAGGAGAAGATGTGGATGGCTTGGGTGGCGGGCACGTGGCACGCGGGGCACTGCGGCTGTGCCCGGCCGCAGATGCGCAGGGCACACTCCATGCAGAACAGGTTGTGGCCGCAGGGCACCAGCGCGGCCATCACCTCGCTCTCCAGGCACACCATGCACTCCCGGGAGCTCTTGCGGTGCCCGTCCGAGCTGCTGGAGTCGGTGGGCGAGCCCGAGGTGGCCGAGATGCTGCCGGGCAGCGAGGAGGAGGAGGAGTAGCCGGTGCTGTTGGAGAAGGAGGAGAGCGAGCCCTGGGCAGGCAGCCAGGCCAGGGCACCGGTGGGGTCGCTGGGGATGCGCCGAGCCGAGGGGTGCTCCAGCCCCGCCGCCCCGCTCTCGGGCAGGGTGGGCGAGTGGCGCGGCGTGGCCGGGCCGCTGTTGCGTCTCTGCGAGCTGTTGATGGAGGAGCAGCTGCTGAAGGCTTGCAGGGGGTTGCCCGAGCGCTCGAAGGGTGACCAGATGGTGGTGGTGGGCGTGGTGAGGTCGAGGGCCAAGAAGTCGAAGCCGAAGTCGCACTCGTCGGAGCCCAGCGGGGCCGGGGGCTCGCTGAAGGTGCTGTAGGGGCTGGTGGGGCTGGCGGCCGCCACGCGCCCGCTGTAGAAGGACTCGGTGGAGCCGCTGCCCAGGGAGCTGAGGCTGTCGTTGCGCAGCGCGGCCGAGGGGCGCTGGGCAGGGTGGGGGGCCTTGGCCCACGGGGCGGCCGCGCTGCCCTGCAGGTCGAGGCAGACGTCGGTGCCGTTGGAGTGGAAGTCGTTGTCGGCGTTGACGTCGATGAAGGAGCCTGTCCGCATGGTGATGTGCGCCTCGATCTCCTCCCGCGCCCGGTCCACGTTCTCGGGCATGCCCGTCACCTCGAACACCGGCTCCTTGTCCCGGCTGGGCGTCACGATGTACGTGTGCGTCTGCTGCTGGATGCGCTTGATGGTGGCTCCCTTGGGTCCCACCACCAGCCCCACCACGCGGTAGGGGACCCTCACCTGGATGGTGGTCTGGCCTGGCAGGTTGGGGGGCCCCTGCATGGCCCCCGTCAGCCCGTTGACTTTGTTGCGCGTGGCCCGGATCATGGAGAAGTGCTCGGCGGCCGAGAGAATCTCCCGCTTGGCCATCTCCACGTCCTCCTTCCTGCCAGTGACGATGAACACGGGCTCCTCGCCCCTCACTGGTGTCTTGATGTACGTGTTGGTCTTGGCACGCAGGGCTTTGATTTTGCAGCCTGCAGGGCAAGGAGAAGGGGGAAAAATGACACAACGCCACCGAGGCCTCACGGCGACCCTCTGCTCACCCAGGACGGGGACACGACGGACCAGCAGGAACCTGAGGGTCCCTCTCCACCTGCAGCATGGACACCCTGGGACAGAGAAGTCCCTCCGGCCTCCAAGGCAGATGGGGGCTCATGGCTCAGTGCTGGCTTCTCCTAGCTCCTGGCACTGTTCTGACCCTCAGGGGTTGGGGATCAGCAGGACGTGTCCTGCAGGCCTGCTCCAGAGGGCTGGGACAGGCGTGGGCAGAGGTGCCAAGGCAGGCACCCATTGGGGCACCATCAGGGCCACTGAGCAGGTGAGAAGCTGGATTCACTCCAGAGGAATTTAAGGAGGTACAAGGAAAAAAAGATGCCAAGATGGAAAGGAAGGGAAAAGCTGTTTGGATCCTGCAGGTCCACTGACACCTCTGAGTCACCAGCTGAACCTGAGGAACAGCCCTGGATGCACTCCTGGAGGGACAGGGGAGCTGGACCTCCCCAAGGCAGGGGACACAGCCACCCCCTCCCCGCCTTGTCCCACGGGAGGGCTCCCCAGTGCCTGGGCTGGGGCAGGGGTGCTCCCAGGGCTCCTGCTCTCCCTGTTCTGGAAAATCCTGCTTTCCCTGCAGGAGGAACGTGATTCAGCAGGCAGAGCTGCCCATGGCTGGCTGTGGGGCTGTGAGATGGAGCTGCAGCACCGTGCGGCCCTGGGCACAGCCCTGGGCACGGCCCAGCTGGGCTCTGGCTGCGGGTCCTGGCAGCATCGTCCAGCCAAAGGCTCCTGCTCTCCTCTGGGGCTGCAAAAGGCTCCAACTCTCCTCCAGGACCACTTTGCTCTGCTCCACTGAGGAGCAGTCTGTGACTGCCAGCCCAGCCCAGCCCCACTCCCTGCACCCCCAGCCCTAATTGCATCCACTCTTAATGAAGTCCCCACGAACCAGGCACAGCACGACCAGAGCTGAGCTCACTGGCCACTGGCACACAGCAGTGAGTGACCCCCATCTGTCCCCTCCCACCCCTGAGCTTTGCAGGCCATCCAACACAAAGCTGGGAGCCAGCAGGGATGGAGGGTGCTCCACTGGAGCCCTGGGCTTGTCCCTGTCCATGGCAAACGCTGCTGCAGATCCCTGTGGATAAAGAGCTCGACTCCTCCGGGCACAGCCGAGCAGCTGCAAGTGCCTGGTTGGCTCCTCTGTGAACGGCTCAGGGCACTCCTTCCCCTCCTCCTCTTCCCAGACGCTCCCTGAGGAAGGGCAGGGCTGCTCTTCCAGCTGTGAGGCTGGAGAAGGAGAGGCCCAGAAGGCTGAAGGGCCTCAGCACATGAAAGATGCAGAGCTGCTGGAGCCAGTCCAGAGGAGGCCACGGAGCTGCTCCAAGGGCTGGAGCCCCTCTGCTCTGGAGCCAGGCTGGGAGAGCTGGGGGTGCTCACCTGGAGAAGAGAAGGCTCCAGGGAGAGCTCAGAGCCCCTTGCAGGGCCTAAAGGGGCTCCAGGAGAGCTGGAGAGGGACTGGGGACAAGGCCTGGAGGGACAGGACACAGGGAATGGCTCCCAGTGCCAGAGGGCAGGGCTGGATGGGATATTGGGCAGGAATTGTTGGCTGGGAGGGTGGGGAGTATTGGGTTTCTATAGCCAGGTTTTGGTAGCAGCAAAGGTTACAGGGGTGGTTTCTGTGAGCAGCTGCCAGAAGCTTCCCCTGTCTCCAGCAGAGCCAATTTCAGGCAGCTCCAGGATGGACCTGGCACTGGCCAAGGCCCAGCCCAGCAGAGATGGTAGGGACACCTCGGGATCATGCATTTAAGAAGGAAAAAATGTCTTGTGCAGCTGCAACTTGGTCTAGAGAAGAGCAGGGTTAGAAGGAGTGAGAGGAGCAGCTCTGCAGACACCCAGGGCAGGGCAGAAGGAGCGGCAGGAGCTGCTCCAGGCACTGGAGCTGAGATCCCCCTGCAGCCCCAGGAGGAGCCCACGCTGGAGCAGGGACATGCCCAAAGAAGGCTGTGACCCTGGGGGAAGCCTGAGCTGGAGCAGGGTCCTGGCAGGGACCTGCAGACCTGTGGAGAGAGGAGCCCATGCTGGAGCAGGTTTGCTGGATGCACTTGGTGATCCTGAGGGGGACAAAGGGTGGGACAGGGTGTGGAGACCTGTGTCCCATGGGAGGGACCCCACACTGGGGCAGGAGAAGAGCTCCAACTCCTCTCCCTGAGCAGCAGCAGGAACAACGTGGGATGAACTGACCGTGATCCCCATTCCCACCCCCCTGCGCTGCTGGGGGGCAGAGGGAGAGCCCAGGAATGAGGGAAGGGGAAGGTGATTGTAAGATTTTACCTCTCATGCTCCTGCTCTGATTTTGTTAGTAATAAATTCAATTAGTATCCCCAAGTTGAGTCTGTTTTGCCCTTGACAATACTGGGTGAGGGATCTTTCCCTGCCCTTATCTCAACCCATGAAACCTTTGCTGTATTTTCTCTCCCCTGCCCACTTGTGGAGAGCAGTGATGGCGCAGCTTTGGTGAATGTCTGGAACTAGCCAGAGTCAACCCACTAGAGTGAAACAGGCTGCCCAGAGCAGCTGTGCCTGCTCCATCCCTGGAAGTGTCCAAGATCAGGCTGGACGGGGCTTGGAGCAGCCTGGGATAGTGGAATACCATGGCAGGGGTTGGGACTGGGTGGGATTTAATGTCCCCTCCACCTCAAACCATTCTGGGGTTCTGTGACTCAGCCAGGGCTGGAATGGCACAAGAAGTTGAGTCAGGTCTGTCCCAACCAGGTAAATCACTGCAGGGTCTCCAGGAGCACCTGGAGAGCAGAGTGAGAACAGCCTGGATCAGCCCAGGTGTGCTGCACTTCCCACAGCATTGAGCCTCGTGGATGACAAGAAGTGAGAAACTGTCAGAGTGAGGGAGCAGCAGGAGCTGCCCTGGGTGCCACAGCCAGGCCCTTCAGCACCACCAACCCCTGGCACGTGGATTTATGGCACAGTGAAGCGATGGCCCAGGGACTGGGGCAGGGCAGAACCATCGAAGCCGACATTTACTGAAGCCATTATCATGTGCCAGCTCCTACAGGCTGTCCTGGGAGAGGCACCTGCAACTCCCACGTTCCCCTCCCAGATTTATCCTGGTGCCTGCTGTAAGATCTGCCCCTGCTCCACTGCTTGGCAAAGCAGGACAAGCCCAATGCAGTGGGAAGAGGCTCTGCTGCTGCCTCCCATGGGCACCAGCCTCATGCCCAAGGTCCCAAATTCATCCTTTGCAGCATCACAGAATCCTGGAATATCCCAACTTGGTAAAGACCCCCAGGGATGGAGCCCCACTCCTGGCCCTGCCCAGACCCCCCAACAAGCCCACCCTGAGCATCACTGAGAGCGCTGTCCAAACGCTCCTGGAGCTCTGGCAGCCTTGGGGCCGGGCCCATTCCCTGGGGAGCCTGGGCAGTGCCAGCAGCCTCGGGGGGAAGAACCTTGCCCTGAGATCCATCCCAAGCCTCAGCAAGTGGCAGTTTCAGGATGCAAAGCCACTGGCAGCTCCAGGAGCTGCACACAGGAGTCACTCAGGAGCCACATCCCATGTGGGACGTGGCTCTTCCCCACCCCACTCCATCACACCAGCAGCACCACTGGGACCCAAATGATGCCATGGCAGCACCAAAGAGAGGAAGAGTTTGTCTGGCTGCTCCCGTGAGCTCTTCATAGGGACAAAGCCAAAAACCTTGGATAAAAATCAAAGGGGTGCCTGGCTTGGCCAGTTCCACCCTCCTCAAACCAGCAGCACAGGAAAAATGCCCCCTGCCCGTGGCTGCTGGATGCTGCCAGGGTCATGAATGGCACCAAACACAGCTGGGGTGGGAGCTGGGTTTCCCAGGGGAGGGCTAGGAGAGGAGGATGGCAGATCTGGGAGGGTGGGGGTGTGGAGTCACCCCCCAGCTGTCCCAGAGCCACACCAGGAAACACTGGAAAGGGAGGCAGCGGCCAGGGAAGCCACTGCCTGAGGCCATGTGCTGGCACCAGCACCAGGAACTGTGCCTGTGAGGAGTCTCCAGCATCGGGACACACCAGGGGACCAATCTGTCCTGCCCTGTCCCCAGGCCCAAACTGCTCCTGAGACACCCCTTGGCTGCAGGGACTCCCAGGCAAAGGTCCCAAAGGCTGGAGCAGGATGGGCAGGATGAGCAGCCTCCCCAGGCTGGCATTCAGGGAAGTGTTTAACCCCACCTGGCACAGTGATCGAGGCTCTGGGACACCGGGGGCACAGCCCTGCCCTCCAGCACCCCTGCACCCCCTGAGGCAGCTGAGCCAGGCTGCCCCTGCTCAGGAGGGGGGGATGGCACCTCCTGGCTGAGCCCCCCCAGAGCCAGATGGACTCAAACTGCAAACTGGGGATTTAACCAGCAACTGCAGCTGGGGGAAGCATGGAATGGTTTGAGTTGGAAACCACCTTAGGGTTGATCTTGTTTCACCCCCTGCCATGGGCAAGGACACCTTCCAATATCCCAGACTGCTCCAAAACCCATCCAGCCTGGCCTTGGGCACTTCCAGGGATCCAGGGGCAGCCACAGCTGCTCTGGGCACCCTGTGCCAGGGTCTGCCCACCCTCCCAGCCAACAATTCCTTCCCAATATCCCATCCAGCCCTGCCCTCTGGCAGTGGGAGCCATTCCCTGTGTCCTGTCCCTCCAGGCCTTGTCCCCAGTCCCTCTCCAGCTCTCCTGGAGCCCCTTTAGGCCCTGCAAGGGGCTCTGAGCTCTCCCTGGAGCCTCCTCTTCTCCAGGTGAGCACCCCCAGCTCTCCCAAAAGCAGAGCAGAGGGGCTCCTGCAGCTCCACGTCTTTCTTGTACTTGGAGCGATTCAGACCAGTAGGAAACCTTTCAGATGAGCCCCTGCAAACCATCTCCAGAGATGGCCACATCCCTGTGAAGCTGCTGCAGGGTCAGGGTCACGCCAAAGGGGGCTGTGGAAAGGACCTGGAGCTGCCTGGAAGTGCTGGTGAGCTCCCAGCCCAGGCAGTGCCAGACCTCAGCCCAGCAGCAGCAGGAGGCATCCACACATTCCCCTGGCCCTGGGCTGCTGTGCAGCACCAATGGCAACAGAGTGCCAGACTCTGCTGCAAGTCTCCACTGAAGCAGCTTTAAAGATCCAAATAAAAACAGCCCAAAACCAGGGGCAGTGGAAGAGACAGACCCAGGGATGCTTCAGCCCCAAGAGCCCTTTGTGAACAGAGCCTGGGTCTTTCCAGAGCCCGAGAGCGGCTCAGCTGCTGTGTTACATCTCTTTGGTGGAGCTCTGAGTCCCTGTGGGCACAAACTCATCCTGACACCCCATGGCTGCCAGCAAACCCCAGCACTGCAGAGGTCTCACCCCAACTCCAAGTCACAGCCCCTGTGCCACCAGAGCCAGCTCTGCCTGCAGGGACAGCCCCGATGGGGGGTGAGCAGCCCACTCCTCCCAAACCTGTCTCAACTCCATCCCCTCTTCTTTCACCCTCTCCCCATCACAGACTGCTCCCATTACACTCCACTTTGTAAAACTGTCCTGGCTGAACCCATCCCACCTGCTCTTGGGATGGGACATTGGTAATTTCTGACAAGAAACAGAATCCCAGGGAATTTTTCCCAGGATAAGGTGGTGATGGGGGCAGCACCCCAGGAAAGGTGGCTGCTCTCCCTGGACATCCTCACATGGCATCGCCAAAGAAAACTTGTCTCTCTGTGAGAAGCCCCAGACAGATCAGGGCTGAGACCACTGCAAGAGCCCATGAAAACTGGGAGAGAGGGCTGGGAAGAGCTTCTCCATCCTCCAGTGACCACGCTGGAGGTGACAGATCCCACACAGCTCATCCACACCCTGATCCCAGCACGGCCTGGGCACCCTCTGCTCCCACAGCAGGTGCCTCCTGCACACAAGGAGGACAGAGCCAGCTCATCCCCTTGCCCAGACTGCATCTGTGCTTGACCAAGGAGGTCTGTGCTGGCAGTGCCCAGCTCTGAGCTGGTTAAACCCAAAAAAGCACCAGCAGAACTCTTCTGGAGGAGCCTCTGATGGCACCAGGCAGGAGGACGGTGCCATCAGGCAGGAGCCACATCCCATGTTCCCCGAGTGTGGGAATCCCCACATTCCCACACTTGGGAAGCCTCTGATCCAGAGTTCTGGAGCTCCCAGTCCCCTTTGTTACCAGTGACTGGCACAGGATGGGCAGGGACTGGGGCCAGGCGTGGAGGGGAAAACGCTGCACCTCCATCACAGCTCCTCTCCCCTTGCTGAGCGCTCCTTCCCAACTCTGCACACAGGAATGAACTCATCCCTGCAGCCCTGCTGCTGGAGGCGAGCACATCACACCTTGGCTTCTTCTCCAGACACTGCAAGAGCGGGGCAGGGAGGCTGGGCTCTCCTCCTCGGGACACAGTGTGCAGCCAGTGCCAGCTCTCAGATGTACAGGCAGATCCTTCAGCAACCAGATCCATCTGTGTGACCAAGCTCAGGAGTTCCCAGCTCTGCTGTGACCCAGCTGGGAGGAGGCAGCCAGGAGGATGTGCCAGGTGCCTCCAAGGACTTGGCACCTGGGCAGGAGACAACAGAGAGCAGCAACCCAGGGCTCTGAAATGAGAGGATTCCTTGCACCCGTGTGATCCATGGTGAGGTTACAGGTGCCCAGGCTGGCCCAGACACGCCCATGGTCACCCTGTGCATCCTCTCAGCACTGGAATGCTGCGGAGTCCAGCAGAGTCCAGAGGTGCCACGTGCCATTCTTCCCTGGATCTACCCTTTGAGCATCGCAGCATCTTCTATAAACAGCAACTCTCCTTTTGTGGAGCTGTGCCAGTCCCCAGGTGTCACAGACGGGGAGAGGAGCTGTGGCTCTGTCCCACGGGAGGCACCTGGTGTGGGAGGGGAGAGCAGACACTGCTGGAAATGCCCCTCCAAAGCTGGGACAGCAGGAATCCACACCAGCAATCCCACATGACAGTCAGGGCAGCTCTAACACCTGCCCCGTGCTCCTGGTGTGGTGATTCCCGTTATCCCCACGGCTCTCTCTGCTGGATGGCAAGAGGAGCCCACACGGCTCCAATCGGTGCCCACAGCACGTTTTGGAGATGGTTCCTCCCTCAGCAGGAGTCATGACCGGGCTTGCAGGCGAAGGCACAGCCAGGGAATCCCGCCCGGCCACGCAGCCATGTGGGCAGCGGGGAGAGGAGCCGCAGATCCTGGCAGGCAGCTGCTGCTTCGTGGTGTCACCGATGCCAGTCTGGACGTGGGGTCATGGCAAACACTCCTCCAGCTCAGGGAAGAAAACACCAATTTGATTTAGAGAACAAAGATATACCTGATGGGCTGCTGCTGCTCCTTTGTGAAAGGGTTAAATTAGGTTATCTGGAGGAAAGAAACTGAAGAAAAGAAGTAGGAGGAGTCATCTCCAACTGCCTTCGTCCCATCTCAGCCTGCCCAGGACAGGACATCCATGTGTTGGTCCTGGCTTCCAGGACCTCCCTGGTCCCCACTTGCTCCAGCAGCCAGGTCTGGGCAAAGCAGAACAGGTCCCAAAGTGCCCCAAGGTGTGTGTGGACAGATCCTGAGCCTTGCCCCAACTCCAGCCCCTTCCAGGGCACTCAAGATGCACGATCTTCATCCCATCCAACGTTCCAGGTGTGACGGCACCACAAATTTCTGCTCCCTGGGTCACAACCAGGCTGGGCAGTGAGGGAAAGACAAGAGTGACAGGGACACGGTGTGGGTGACCTAACCCAGCCCTGCAGTGTCACCAGCAGCACACACTTTGTCACCATGATGATGATGATGGTCCAGCCAACACCCTAAGGCTCAGCTCTACCACCAGACCCCGCTGCCACGGGGCTGCCAAAGCTGAGGGAGACTTGGGGGAGGGAACAGGGAAGCAGAAGGACCCAGGAGGCAGCACAGAGTGAGTGAGAGGGCTCTGCTCAGTGTGAGCCCTGAGGAATAAGCTCGGTATTGCTCAGAGGTAGCCTGAGCAATATTACATCCTTGCCATAATCCAGCTGCCAGCAGCACAGAGAGCAGCTGGAGCACAAAGACACTGCTGCCAGCCTGTGCTGCCCGACCCACAATCATCACCCATCCCACAATGTGATCAAGGGTACCCAGCGCCCCTCCTGAACAAAAATCCAGTGCAGGGCCAGCACACTGCATCCCAGCAGGCCAAGACCAGGAGAGGGGCAGGAAACAGAAGGGGAAACTCCTGGAGAGGGCAGCAGGGTGCTTCAGCTCACAGCTGGCCCCAGGTCATCTCCAAGCCCACACGGTGCCCCTCAAGCACCCCTCCTCAGGCCAACATAATAATTCCTCTGGCAGTATTTTTTTCAAAAGTTTCACGAGCTCGCGAAGCTTAGTGAGCACCCAAACTCCACCGAGGTGTTTGGGCAGGTACTGGCTGTGCACCAAACTGCTCGGGGTGCTGGAGGAGCAGCACCGGGGTCTCACCACAACGAAACACCCAGGAGAAGGAAGGCACCGACCGGCAGCTCCCGGGCCAAACGCAGCCATTCCCCCGGCAGAACCAGCGGGTTCCCAGCAGAGCCCAGCCCCCGGCACAGGCTCGGTTTCAAGCCGCCGGACCCCGTGGCTCCGCAGAGCCCGGCGGCGAGGCCAGCAGAGCCAGGACTCCATCCAGCCCGGGACGAGTGGGAGAATCCCTGGGAGCGGTGCCACGCTCCGCTCCCCCGGCTCTGCCCAACGCTCCGCCGGCCCGGGGGGACCCCGCAGCCCGGGGGGGTCCCGCAGCCCCGGAGGGTCCCGCAGCCCGGGGGGGTCCCGCAGCCCGGGGGGACCCCCGAACGGGGCGGCGGGACCGCAGAGGGGTGCACGGAAAGTTGGGAGGCCGGGAAGCGGGGCCGGCTGGGAGGCAGCGCAGGCCAATGGGAAGCGCAGAGCATGATGTCACCGCGCTCATCACAGCATGGCTCTGGCTAACAAAGAGAACAATGAGGCTGCCCAGTTCCCCGCTTCCCCCCTGGAAAAAAAGCCCCCCGACCCCCGGCCCGCAGCCCCCCGGGCAGGGAGGGGTGAGAGCCGCCGGACGAGGGCAGGGCCGGGGTGCCAGAGCCCACAAGGGCAAAACACCCCGGAGGTCACGCTCCCTGCCAGGGGATTCCTGCCGGGATCCCTGCGGGCAGCAGCTCTCTTCCTTTTCCTTTTTTTTCCTTAAATCCTCCGCCCTGGGTCTTTTCTTTTTGATTTTTCAAGGTGCAAGTTTGGTTTATTTGGTATGTCCTGGAGACAAAGCCCACTCCAGGCACACCCACCCGGCGGGGGCTGGGGCGTCCCTTTGTGACAGCTGGGTGCGAGGGGCCCGCGGAGCTCCGGCCACCTACAAACGAGCGGGTTAGTGACCATTTCTATCGGATTTATCAGCAGGATTTGTAAACGAAGTCTGAGATAAGGGACACCGTTTACACGCCGGGTCTGAGATACGGAGCTGGAGGGGAGGGGGCAGAGGCACAACTACAATGAAACCAAAGCTCTCGCCTCGCTCCGTGTCCTGGCAGCTCCCACGGACTCGTGTGGCTCCCGGGAACTTTCCGTGGGCACCCGGCGTTCTCCCATCCGGGCCGATGGAGTTTAATCGCTATTTCCAGGCAGTTCGGTGGGACCGGCGCGGAGCGCGGCTCCCGGGACCCGCGGCCGACTTTCGGGGCCGCGGGATCTGTCGCCGTTAAGTTTCCGCCTCCGCACGGAGACAAAGCCCCGAAACTGCCCCAGATCGCGGCGGGCCGGCGCGAGGGAGGAGGGTCCCCGTGTCCCGCCGTGTCCCCACGCCGCGTTACCTTGCCGGCCCACGATCTCGGCGACGTGCTCGGAGCTGGGCACGGGCACGCACTCGGTCATGTTCACGCTCTTCTTCCTGCTCGCCGGCGGCTCGGGCAGCAGCGCGGGCGGCCCCAGCGGCGGGGCCAGGCTGCCGAAGGCGCCCGCGGCCGGGGCGGGGGCCGGCACCGGGGAGCCGCCGCCTCGCTCCCGCTCCCTTAGGCCGCCCGGCCCCGCGCCCCCCGCCGGCTCCTCCGCGCCCTCCAGCCCCAGCAGCGAGAGCTGGTCCAGGGCGAACCTCAGCGCGGCGGCTTCGCCCTGCGCCGGCGGCCCCGGCGGCCCCTCCCGCTCCCGGCCGGGCTCGGGCTCCGGCGGCGGGTCCTGCCCGGCGGGCGGCGGCGGGCTGAGCAGGGTGAGGCAGCGCGGCGGGCCGCGGGCCGGCTGCCCGGGCTCGGGCTGGTACATGGAGCCGGGCATGGCGCGGAGCGGGCGCAGCGCAGCGGGCCGGGGCCGGGGCGGTGCCGCTGCCCGGGGCCGCCGCCGCCGCCTCCCTGCGCCCCCCGCCCCGCCCGGCGATGGGCCGGGCCGCGCCCGCCGCGCGCATGCGCGCCGAGGCCCCGCCCACCGGCACAGACCCGCCCGCCGGAGCCCCGCCCACCGGGCCACGCCCTTCTTGGCCCCGCCCCCGCCCGCGGAGCCGCGACTCCTGCCCGGCCCGAGGGGACCGAGCGTTTGGGGGGGGGGGGGGGGGGGGG